TTCTATTCCGGCTGTCATTCACTCTCTCTCATGTGCTGAATGGCATCCCTCACATTATTTAAATCCCTCTTTAAGACAAGAAAACCATAAGGAGGAGGAAGAGGACAGAATGTCTAGAGACAGAAGAAATAGAAAGCAAATAGAGTAAAAATGCCATTGGTTTTGATGACGTGGGGAATGAAATGAGGTGATACATGTGATGGGTCACAATTGCCTTGGGTCTGCAGTGTTCACTGTAAACTGAGCCCCTCACATTATTTAAATCCCTCTTTAAGACAAGAAAACCATAAGGAGGAGGAAGAGGACAGAATGTCTAGAGACAGAAGAAATAGAAAGCAAATAGAGTAAAAATGCCATTGGTTTTGATGACGTGGGGAATGAAATGAGGTGATACATGTGATGGGTCACAATTGCCTTGGGTCTGCAGTGTTCACTGTAAACTGAGCGGTTGGGTGGCCACTTAGGAGAGATTCAAATGCCTCCTAGGTGATTATCAGTGTCCACAGCATCCACAGCTACCAGCATGTTTCTACTGGTGGTGCACATCTGCACGTCTCACTGTATATAACAATATTTATTCTGCCCGCACGTGGATGGAAAAATGTAGAGGGAACATTGTTGATGTGCTGAGACACCACTGAATCTGTTTTCTCTGAAAATCCTATAACCCTGTCTTGTTGAGCCAGACAGGCTTACAGGAAAAACAAGTCTGTACATAGATCATTGTCCTGAGTATTGGGCAAAAAGTTCCTACTCAGTATTACTAATGATCCTCATTTAGCATGACTTCTTGAGAGACAGGTTTCTCTACTATATATTTTGAAGAATTTGTTTGTGGATTTGTTTGTGCAAAATAAAGTTATTACCTAAAAATACCAATTTTTTCATAAACAATCCTGCCACTTAAATTAGTTGAATGCACTACTTTTTTATACTAGATTATGTTGGGTGAAAGGTTTAAATCAGTGTTTCTCAAAGTGGTCTGCAGACCCACTCTGAGAGAGCTGCTACTAGGCCGCTCCAGTTTGTTTACTTACTGGCTCTGCAGCCAGGAACCCCCCAGGCTCGCATTGGCTGCAGTTTGCTGTTTGCTAACAAATTTAAAATTGAGTCACCTGTTCACTGCAAAGGACATTTTTACTGTTACAAATAATAAAATGATTCAATTAGTTATGGAAAGAGTAATAGAAGCGTTACAAGTTTTGGTTCAAATGTACCACGTATTGTAATTTATTCAATAAAATGAATAATGTTTGAAGATGAAATTCTACAAATTTAAAATGGTCATTTTTACTTCCCATTTGCAAGCACGTTTATAAAAAAATCTATTACGTATATTTAATTTCTTGAACTTTCCTATATATTTCCATGCAAAATTACTTTGCCCGGCCTACGATGGGCATCACCTGCTAGTAGTTTATATTTCTAACTTTAAATACAGGAATGATTCATGCATAGAGTGACCAGATGTCCTGTTTTAAAAGGACAGACCCATATTTAAGTCCTCCTATGTGTTTTTCCTTAAAAAATGGGAAATTATCCCATATTTTCTGTTTCCATTCCTCCCTCTCCATCAGCAGGTGGTGCTGCTGCTAGTCAGATTCCTGATCACCAGCTCCCTGCTCATTGGTGGTGAGCAGTCATGGTGTCCAGTGGCTAACGAGGGAGGTGGATATGCAAGGCTGATGGAGAGGTGAAGGTGCAATATGTCAGGCATGCTGCTCCTCCCATTTTACCATCAGCACAGCTCTAACTATGTGCCAGCTCCTGGTCAAAAGGGCCCTTTCCCCTGTCCCATATCTGGCTGGCACTGGCTGACTGCTATGGGCTATGGAATCTGGTGTGTGCAGACAGATACAGGGCAGTGGCTGGTAACGGGTCATCTCTGCTGACCTCTCCTTGCTGTGCCCGGTCTTGCCTCCGCCAGTCCGGCTTCTCCTCCATATCCCCTTCTGTTGACTACATCCCACTTGTAGCAATCTGGGGAGAATAAACTCTGGTAGGAGTGCTCCCTCACCAACAGAATAGCAGGCAGGCTCCTTCCTTCTCCCACTGCCCTCTGGGCCAGAGCCCCAGAAAAGCCCAAGACCTTCTGGCCTGGGGCCCTGACCAGCATGTGCCAAAGCAGCACACACTGCTGGGCTTGGAAATGATATGCAGCCTGTCCATTCCCCAAACTTGTAGGTTCCACAGCAGTCCCTTTCAGCAGGGGTTTAGCACCTTCTTCACACACTCCAACTAATACACTTAAATGGAACTAGTAGAATCTTATTTGGGAGATAAGGCAATATGCTGTGTTTATTTATTGTGAATGCAGAATTAATTTACTGCCCCTAGTTACTAAAATTATCTACCACATGCATTCATACACACAGTTCTACAGATGGGATATAATTACCATCCTAAGTTGCTCATGCTAGTCTGCTGGACAGATGTTCTGGATCCTGTTCTATCCTACTGCCCCAGGGTGCTGTATAACCATGAGTCATCAGTTAATGGCAGGGGGGGGGATTTTGTCTCTCTCTTGAGAGAGCTCTTTAGCTGGGCTCACTTGCATCATTCTTTGGCCACCAAGTGGTGCTGACAGCTGGCCTCTGAGACAGTTATAATATCTCTCTCTATAAAAAAAAATTTACACAACACTTATTTCAAAATAGCTATTTCGAATTTGGCATTATTCCTTGTGGAATGAGGTTTACCAAATTCGAAATAAGCGTGCCGCTATTTTGAAATTAATTCGTAATAGCGGTTTGGTTGTGTAGACGCTAGTAAAATTATTTCAAAATAACAGCTGTTATTTCGAAATAACTTTGCTGTGTAGACATACCCTTTGATACTTATCTACCCTCTGCTTCTGTCTGTCCCCCACTCCTCCCATTTTTTTCCCTTCTTTCCCTCCCCCTACTTCTTCCCTCATTTATTTTGGTTCTGGACATCCAACACTCCGGCCATCTGAAGAAGTGGGCTGTACCCACGAAAGCTTATGATATCATCTGTATATTTTGTTAGTCTTTAAAGTGCTACCAGACTATTTGTTGTTTTTTATGGCAGTCAAAATTGTCCAGCTTGACTCTCTTACCAGATCCCTCCCCCATAGATCACTTGGGTTGTGGGAGGCAAGAGGAAGGCTATAAAAAAGAGGGTTGAGCTGAAGAGAGAAGCAGAATGAAAGCAGCAATAGATCAAGACAAGGAGAATAGAAGACATTAGTGAGAGTGGTAGAGGAAGGGAAAACTAGAAAGAGTTCATTTCTGAGAGGGGAAAAGTCTTGGCAAAGCAGGAAGGAGCGATGAAGCATGATGCCATCTTAAGCATGAATATGTGGCTGCATTACCTATTGTTATCAATCTTGAGATCTTCAGCGTCCCAGAGTACTAGCTCATGAGATTCCTCTCTACCTCGATAGCCTTTCATAAGAGCATTCCCATGGCAGAAATATGTAGAGCTGGGACTTGGACGTCCATTTATACATTTGCTGAGCACTATGTAGTCACTCATGCCTCAGCTTCTAATGGCATAGTTGGCTCCAGTGTTCTGTCTTCAATTTTAGAGTTGACTCTGAATCCCCCTGCTTCCACAGAGGGTAATGCTAAATAATCATCTCGAGTAGCGCACCTACAGCCGGGGGGTGGGAGAGGCAGAACTTAAGATCTAGGGGCCGGATGCAGCCTCCATCTTGCCTGGATCCAGCCTCCAAGGCTCAGGGCTCCCCCCCAGCGTTGGGGAGCCCATGCTGGCACGCCAGCCCCCACTGCCCCTCTGGGATTGGAGCACACAAATCTACTAGCCTGGGCCCCCCTAGGCTCTGGTGTGCAAGGGGAATACCAGGAGTATCTTTCTCCTTCTCAGTCAGGGGCCACATCAGTGAGGGTTTGTTTTTTGTTTACTTCTCACTTGCATGCAGCCCCTGACTGATTTTTTTGTGGGTCAGCAGCCCTAAACTCAAAAAAGATTCCCACCTCTGATCTATAGGGATGCTATTCAAAGAAGAAAACATTACTTACCACGTGCAATGGCTGTTTTTTCCAGTGTGTTTTTTTTTGTGGGGGGTGGTGCAGATGTGGATGTTAGATGGGATTTGACTGCAGGGCGAGGAGGGCTTGGAGACTCTGCTTTGGAAGGATATTCAGACATAAGCGCAGTATGGCAGAAAGCAAGGAGAAGCTGGGGAAGGAAAGTGGGGGGTATTAAAGCTGGTGGTACTTGTGGAGAGAGTGCATAAGGAATACAAATGGAGTCCAGGACTGGGATGTAGACTGAGCAGTGAGTTGTAGGGCTTGAGATTCAGGGCAAGAAGTCTGAACAGAATCTAATGGGCAAGGGAAGAATATCCATTGACTTTCAAATCCTTTGTCTCCTACTGAAATCTGTGGGAATCTCCTCCCCTCACCTAGAGCCCTGAGGGAGAGTCTTCCTGGGAATGGGGATGGTTTGGGATTTTTTTTCCCTTCTTACTTGGTCCTTCCTTCTAATCCTATCTGTCTCCTTCCTTCCTTTCAGGGTCACCCATTAGTTACTGGCTCTATCTCTGCTGATTCTCAGTGATGAACTCTACTTCTCTTTTGGTTTTCCTGCAGGCTGAGGCTGTCTCTCTCTCCCAGAGGGAGAGTCTTCCTGGGAATGGGGATGGTTTGGGATTTTTTTTCCCTTCTTACTTGGTCCTTCCTTCTAATCCTATCTGTCTCCTTCCTTCCTTTCAGGGTCACCCATTAGTTACTGGCTCTATCTCTGCTGATTCTCAGTGATGAACTCTACTTCTCTTTTGGTTTTCCTGCAGGCTGAGGCTGTCTCTCTCTCCCATCTTTT